CACTATGCTACCAGAGCTCCTGTGTTACATTGCTTCTATGCCTGGCTAGCCCTCTCTCCCTTGTTGCCCCGTTAAGCACTACAGACCCTTCCTCAGTCTTCCACATACTAAGGTACTTGCCACATCCAATGTGACTGGCTATTCCCATGCATCTCTCTTCTACTAGACTAGGGTTATTTGAAGGCAGGGACTGTATGTAATTCATCCTTTATTCCTAGCACCCATCACAGGATCTGGCTCAGAGTAGTTTTTCAATGTTTATTGAAAGGAATGATAAAAGGAAAGGAAGAAGGAGGGAAAGTAGGGAGGGAGGAAAGAAGGAAAGATAAGAGAGAAGGAAGAAGGGAAGGAAAGACACAGTCAGGCAGGTCTGCAGTGCTTGCCCTCCCTAGGTGCTCTGTACCCTCAGGATGGCAAGCGGTCTTTCCATTGGAATTTTCCCAAGCAGGCCTAATGTATCTTACCTGAATCCTATTGATTCTTCACATCTCTGCTGGGCTGGGTGTTCAGTGGTCTCCCAGTACTAGAATCCAGAGGTAGGGGTGATGACATGGATGCTGGCTCCTATCCTAGGACCTGATGTTCTCCTGGTCCCATGGAAGCCTCCATTGCATCTGTTAGGAGGACAGCTGGAGGTTTTGATGTGCTTAGTTCTCTGCCCCTTGGGAGTGGTTCTTAGATGTCTAATTGATAGGACAAAGATGCAGGTCATGGCAGCTTCTATCTGAGTACCCTCTTAGGGAGATTGGAAAGGGGTCTGCTTGAGGACAACCCACCAAACCCCCAGCCCCAGCCTGTGTACCTTATCCAGAGACTGCTTGGCCAGCGCCTGGGCTGGCTAGAGACGACCTCTCTTTTCTTCCAAAATCAAGTGCACCCAATTCTACTAATCTCAGACAAATCCCAGTCTCCCTTAATCTCCATTTGGCCATGGCCATGGCCAAGCTAGGCTTCTCCTTCCATTGCATGGACTCTCCTGGGCATCTCCTCACTGCTTCTCACCTGCCAGCCCAAGCCCTCCCACAATGATAATGTGTTACTTTGTAGTAAGAAAGCATTCAATAATATTTAATAAACCTAATGGTCTAGGCAAATGCTGAGTCAAATCACTATCTCTTTAACTGGTGTTAACACAAACCAACCTTTTCAGACCAGGGCATCACCAATGAAGTACAATTGCAGTTACAACTCCAAACTGCTATTCTGGCTCTGGCACGTGTCCTTAAATGGGTCATAAATTAGGAAGCTTTGAGGAAACAGAGAGGTATCCCTTTAGGTCCCTCACATCCCCCATGCTATCAGTCTGCTGGGAGAAAAGCTGCCAGTGGAAATGTGGGCCATGGTGGTAGGGACCAGGGGATGTACAGCATTGAATAATCACTTATTTTTCTTGTTATGGAATAAATTGTATCCCTTAAAAAGACTTTCACCCAAATCACAATAAAAAGTTAAAAAAAAAAAAAAAAAGACATGTTGAAGTCTTAACCCCCTGTTATCTGTGAATGTGACTTTGTTTGGAATAGAGATTTTAAAGATATTCTCAGTTAACATGAGATCATATTGAGGTAGTGTGGGTCCTAGTCCCATCCAAGAGGTGTCTTATAAGAGAATAGACAGAGTTAGAGAAAAAGATGGTTATGCAACTATGGAGAAGATGCAAATCAAAGAATGCCAAGGATTGCCAGGAACCACCAGGAGCTAAGGGAAAGGCATGGAACAGTTTCTCTTTCTGAGACCTCAAAAAGATTAACATCGTGGCCAATAACCTGACTTGGACATCCAGCCTCCAGAACCATGAGAATAATTTCTGTGCTTTAATGTTACCTTGTTTATGGTATTTTGCTATAGCAAAATTAGGAAACTAAGACACTTCTACACTAGGCTCCTTATTTCTCTAACACTCCAGCAAACACCTGCTTTTGTACTTGCTCTTCTCTCTGCCAGGTATACTTTCTATCCATGGTTTGCTCTCCCCTATTATGCAAGTTTTTTTTTTTTCAAATGTCACCTTCTCATAGAAACCTTTCTATATCTTTCTCTTTTACTCCTTATTTTCTTTCCCTACTTGATTTTTCTACTTAGTACTTGTTGTTGTTGTTGTTATGTGCCATTGAGTCAGCCCCAACTCATAGCGACCCCTCCTTGGGTTTTGGAGGCAGTATCATTACGGAAGTAGATTGCCCAACTTTCCTTCTGAGGAGTGGCTGGTGGGTTTGAACTGTCAGCCTTCTGGTTAGCAGTCAAGTGCCTTAGTACTTGTTGTTGTTTTTATGTGCCGTCGAGTCAAACCCGACTCA